CCCTGTGCCCTGTAGCAGTGCTCTCAAAAGGTGGTTGCTATGCAGGCATAAATAAAATTCAGCATTCACGGGGACTACCCATACCTGGAGCCATAACAGAAACCTTAATGAGTTAAATCAGAGCTTTTATTAGCTAATTTCTCATTGTTGACCAGTTTCTCGCATCTCTGTAGATAATTGATGTGGTGGAGAATAGTTCCTGCATTTCAGAAGCTGGCTACTTTTTGAAATGCTCCCATCAGAGATACATTTTTCAGGCTTGTACTTCTTGCTTCTCATTATCTTGTCAATGCGAGCTTTCTTTGCACTAACTCCACTGAGTGGAGGAAGGAGAATGTATTGGTAGGGAATGAGAGGCAGGTCTGTCTTTGTGCTGTGGATGTGGGCACTGAGGCCTCAGAAGCAGCTCCTGTTGAGTGAAGGAAGAATAATTCTCCTTTCTGCCAGAAGAGTTGCAAGGGTGGCTGCAGCCTGATAGAGGGAAGCCAGCTCAGCCACAGCTGTGGCTAAAAATGACTTGAAGCAGGAGGGTTAAGCATCTGGCCACTCCTGCTATTGGTAATGCTCCACAGGTTTTCTTTCAGCAAAGGAGTTCTTTTCAAATCTCAAAGCTGCTGGCTGCAAAAGCAGCACATTTTTAAAGTCTAGAGGAGTATAAAAGACTGCAGATAAACCTGAAGAGGCAACCAGGCTTCTGAGGCATGGAGAATGAAGACTGACAGCAAAGTGGCGCTGGAGCACGAGGAAGCTGGGAAGGGTCAGTAGGCATCAAGGTCTCTCTTCACCACACCTAATCCTCTTCTGGGGTTGGAAAAGCCCTTCTTCCCACAGAGACCTCTTGTCTTTCCTCATATTGTCCCCTTTTCCACCCCAGCCTCTCCTCTGTCCCACTACTCCAGTTTCCTCTGCTTATCTTCTGAGTGTCCTGGGCTCAATGCCTCAAATCAGGCAGGCTTGAGTCATCCTGCCCCAAAATGTGGTGTGGGTACCTACACAGGCATAATGCTGCTCCTGGTTTGGCCTTGTGGTAGTGCATGTGTGTGCAGTCTGCTGCTGCCCGGAGGATGAGCTCCTGCTGCAAACACATTGGCACTGGTTAGAGAAGCCAAATATGCACTGTGACGCAGCCCACATAGTAACTATCAGCAAAAGCTGTTGGGCTTTATATTTCAGACTGCAGTTCTCAAGCATCTTCGTACTTGCCATCACTGCAGAGAGCTTTGTTGTGTCTGATGGTTGTTTCCACCCTGTGAACTCAACCATTTGCTGTAGTGTAGCTGGCATTACTGATGCTTTGGCACTGACTGAGACCAAAATTTGGTTGGTTAGTGGTTTTGTGACCATGCCCTGCTGAGATACAGCATGAGTTACGGAAAAAGAACAAAACCAAAACCAAAAGAGAGTTTGTATTTAAAAAGAAATAGTTCTCGTGGTTTTGTCCCCACATATGGCAGGGACATATGCAGAAATGAATTTGCTGCTGTTTGCCAAGTAACAGTAAGCAGGTTGAGACACTGTGTTAGCTCTCACAAAAGGAAACATGATTTTTCTTTCATAATCTCTCTCTTTTTAATTCAGATGTTCAATGCTGTTTTCTTGAAACTGAGTGGCAAGTAATGAATTGGGGGTGGGCAGGAATTGCCATGGAAAAGAAACAGGCTACCCCAGAGGCACGTGGGTTCATCTGCCTGTCAGACTGTTTTATGAGATGTCCCGTGCAGAGGCTGATCTCTTGATGAGGACCAAGCCCTGTGAGCTCCAGTTCAAGGGTTAAGTGTGTTGGCAAGCTCACTGGACTGGTTTGAGATTCGTGTTCGGGTGATCTGTTAAAGGCTTACATGCTGCAGACAGAGAATGCCAGCTCTTTGCTTTTGAGCATGAGACCATCTCCATGGTGGAGTGCATGTACACAGCAGTGTCTTAGAGAGACACACAATATCACAGGGCCAAAGCTGTTGATTCTTCAGGGACTATAAATCTGTTCTTCCCCTGGAATGAAAGCCTGCAATGGTGGTTTTCAACCCTGTGTGCCTGTGAGCATACATCCCTATTCTGTGTGCCCTCCCAACCACACAGCCAAGCCAGAAATAGTGACTCTTCCAGGATTACAACAAACATGAAAACTGAGAGGTAGGCAACAGTTTGCAAGCCAAAGGAGAAGGGAAGGACAGAGTTGACATCTGTGGTGTTAGGTTAGTGAATGCTGAGCTAAAAGCAGAGGAGGGCAACAAGAAAACACTGCTGTCCCAGCTAGGTTCCAGTTTGTTAGTCTCTGGGTAGTGAAGAAGGACCTTGTCTCCCACTGACACAGAAGTCCCGGACATAACTTATACAACCAATGCGATCAAGTTAATGCCACTTTATCAAAGGATACACAGCAATTTAAAGACTCGCACAAAGCACACGCGCAGCTGTTTGATTGCTAATAGGCTAAGGCCACTTGTCCACGCACCCTTTTGCCCTCTATGATTGGTCCCGTTGTGGCGTCCACACGCCATTCTCCTGCTGGGCAAACATCCTGTTTTCAACAATCCATCTTCCTTATCTTTTTGCTACGCATGTTTCTCAATCCCTTGGCCTTCCAGGTGTTCTTCACAACAGCTTCAGCCTGTTGTCACAGTGAGGCCACTTGGTCTGGATTGTTCATAATAGGTCTGTTGTTTTCCAGCCATTCCACAAATACCTTACTGTGCCATCTAAGGTGATGAATTGATTTGGTAAAAGATGAATCCCCTTGTGTTCTAGCTGGTCCTCATAGATTAGAGGGGCTAGGGGCAGCTGGACCTATCTCTTAATAGGTAGGTATGCCAACTGGGGCCGTGACTATAGTCCTGGCACTGGATGCACGGACAGCCCATGTGCTGTAGGGCCGGTTGCATTCAAGAGAAGCAGTCAGGTTCCTGAATAGTAGTTTATTTTTATGCAACATCTACAGATTCTCTAAGACTGCCTGCAATAAATCCACAAGCTGCAGGTTGGCTATATAGCACTACACAACAAGAAAAACAACTGCAATCACACACACTTAATTCCTGGGTAATCACTCGCTGTAACCAAGGACTCAAATCTTACCAAGAGGCATCCCTTTGGAGGGTAGTGGGTGGGAAGAGCACAAACCCGTCGATGTGTCCTTCTGACACCAGACACAAACTCGGGATTAGTATTTATCTGTAATGACACAGTACATTCCTTGGTGTGAGGGGCGTGCTGGTTTTTGTGGGAAAAGAGGGAGGATGAGAGAGAAGGTGGGCAGGCTACTGCAAAAACTGTCCTTGAGAGAAGGGAGAAAAGTGAAAGAACGGGACTGCGTGGCCTCCACCTTGCTTCACGTTCCTCCTTGGTGCCACAACAAACACAAATCACTGGACCTCCGTCCCGTCCCGTGTTCTGGGCACCCTGTCTCAAGGAAACGTGTGTTTTACAGATTTTCCTCCATTTTGCTTTTTCTCAGGCTTCCAACACTAACCAAACCTACCAAACATCTCCTCTTGTAAGGAAATGCTGTGGTGACAAGCAAAGACAGGAGCGCCCACCTGTATTGCTCTGTGGGTGTCCATCAGCTGGAAGGGCCGGGATAAGTTTTATGAGACTTCATCCAAGGGGGAAAAAATGATTCCTCAAAGAGAGAGGTTGCCTCGTTGAATGCAGAGCTCTTCAAGGGAAACTGTGCTGTTACCAAAGAGAATTTGTGAAATTGTTCCGTTCCTACACCCTGCCATGAGCACATGGCTACTCTGCCCAGATACCCAGCTGAGTGAAGGCTCCTTGGAAATGCTGGATCTCTTGTGGAGACTTACACAGCCCGACTGCCCTGGCAGCTGCTCTCCTGCATGGCAGCAGCTGGTCACAAAGGTAAGCATGTTGTCTGGTGAAAGGCAGCCATCACTTTTCCACTCCTGTTTTTGGAGTGTTTTCATTCGGGGCCACCTAAAGACTAGACTGTACAAGACTCACAGCAGCTTTGTTACTCCATACTCTGTCCCCTGTAAATAAGTGGGAAGGGAGGATGAGAACATTGCCCCATACAACACAGCAGTTCAGGAATCTTAAGTTCTTGATCCTGCAGCAGAGAAGGCCTGTCGGGGGAGGGGGGAGCTGCCGACTTCCAGCTGCCCTCCTGGCGCTTCCCTCTGGGCTGTGGGTGCCGAATCGCTCACGGGGTGGGGGGGGTGTCTGCAGATTTTCCTCCCATACGGTATGGCCGCAGCCCCCACTGCTGCGCCACAGCAATCCTCTCCCTGCAGCCCGGCCAGGAGCAGGGCTGCGGGCTCCTCCTGCAACAGGAGGAGTGAGAGCTGCGCTGCAACTCGTCCCGCTGCCAGCACCGACGGGCCCGCAGGGCGCCACCTCCTTCTCTTCACGGTGACAAGTGCCTTTAGCGGTGATGCACTCCGGTGTCGGCAGGGGAAGGTTTGCCCCCGGGGCGTACAAATATACTCAAACCCGGTGCTCTAAGTACCGCTCCCGGCCCCGGCGCAGGCAGCAGCGGGGCGGGGCTCGGCGGGCTCACT